CTGCTGACAAAATTATTCTGTTTCAGTCGTGGTGTAAGTTTTTTAAAATTTATTTATCTATTTATTATTTTAAAAAAGGTCTTTGGTTGGAATTCCACCAGCATAGACGATGGCACCTCCTGAATAGGGTGGTTATATCCTTTATGTCCTTTCCTTCCTCTCTCTGTGTTCCTGTTACGTTCGTTAGCTGACGTTGTTTGTATGGCCATATGGAAACGTGGCTCAAAGGAGTCATCTGGCTGGAAAAAAAAAGTTTTAGGCTGCTGATTAGGATTTCCATATGGTTAGTTGAATGCTTTTCCCAGAGCGAGGGAGGCAGTAGGAAGTACACAGCAGGGGATGGCCAGTGGTGATCTGGCAGTGGTGTGCAATTATGTTAGCTCATAGTGAGCCTGAAGTAAAGTCAGCTGGAACTGCAGCCTGATTTCTTGACTAACTCTAAGGAACTGTGGTCTCTTTAATCTGCTGTAGATCTTCTGGTGTTATTTAGGTTAACAGGTCATATTGAGAGACACATTTTATTGCCTCTTTGCAATGCTGGGAATTCAGTCCTGCAGGACTTTGCTTGGTTGACTGTCATTATTCAGGTGAATGGTTCCATTTGCCTCGCTTGGGCCAGGATTCAGTGAAGTACTTGCACAAGAATTCTTTGACCTTTGTTTTCTTATACCAAGAGGCAGCGTGTAATGGGTGTCTGCAGATGATCTTTGTGAACGTGCTCCAAATTTACAAAACCCTGAGGGAAGAACAATGTTATATTCGTATGATTATTTTCTTTCTCTCCTACTTGTATAGTCTTGTTCCTGTCTCTCCTTATCTTCTTCAGTGAAGTACTTGCACAAGAATTCTTTGACCTTTGTTTTCTTATACCAAGAGGCAGCGTGTAATGGGTGTCTGCAGATGATCTTTGTGAACGTGCTCCAAATTTACAAAACCCTGAGGGAAGAACAATGTTATATTCGTATGATTATTTTCTTTCTCTCCTACTTGTATAGTCTTGTTCCTGTCTCTCCTTATCTTCTGTACATGTATCTT